AAAATAACAAAATTACAATTCCTAAATTTTTCCTAATGTTTATCTGCATCATTCTCCCCGGGTTGGGAGAAGCTCGACCTCGAGCTTAAAGCCAATCACTCTCTACTAATTGGTGATGTAATCCCACCATGCGCATCGACGCTTTTTCTTCAATTTCTTCATTAAACTGATTCATCAAAGGCTTTGTGCTTATCTCGAAGTAGAACGCTAGGATCATGGGCTAATTCTTGAATTCTCCTTTAGACTCACAAGGTTGGATTTCTAATACTGCATCACACATATCGTCTTCATAATTGATTTTCAAAATTTCTTTCACATTGGGGTTATCAGCTTCGTCTTTTGTATCGAGATCTACCTCTTCATACTCTTCTTGCTCTTGTTCCGATTGCAATCTATGAAATATATCTCGTAGACCTTGTTCTACTACTTTTTTAATGCGCCCTACTAGGTCTTCTTTGAGTCTGTCAAATTTTTGATCCAATCGCTGCAACCGCTGATTCATGTCACGAACTTCTCTTCGAACATCTTCTATAATTAGATCACGGATCTCAAGGCTCCCCATATCAGCACGGATCTTAGGGCTCTAATACCAACTGATGCTCGGAGAAAATAAAACTAGAACAATAAAAATAAAAAAATAAAATGGTTGAAAGAATATAACCCTCTCTCAAGGTCTGCAAGGGAGTCCACCCCAAAAACGATCATTTCACAATATCAATTTTTCTTAGTTCTCATTCTTTGATCATTCTCTTATCCTTTACAATGAACGGATATCTCCCTTTAAATAAACTAAAAAACATAAACAATAACTTAAAAAAATACCTCTCTCTCTCTCTAACTTGCATGTTTTTTCCAAGCTCCCTATTTTCTCTCTCTTATTCTTCCTATTTTCTCTCTTCCTCCTTCCTTTTTTTTAGTTAATTTAAACTCTTTCCACCCATCTGGAGTCCCTTGAATGAAGGAAATTTCCCACATCTTCACGTACTCCCCTTATCCTTCTCATACCTAAATCACATATCTTTCTCATATTTAAATCCCCTTTTAATCTCTCACTAAATCTAAGATAAGCTTAAAAAAAATAGCTCACACCAAAATTTACCTTTCCTAAAAACTCACGCTACTCATTCCTAAAATGATAAATTCAGAAAATAACAAAATTGCAATTCTGAATTTTTCCTAATTTTTATCTGCATCAATTGCTCACTCTCACACAAGCTGGTGGGGTCAAACCGGCATAACAACCAAAAGTGATACAAGATTGAACATTTGATCACAAAAGGCCAAATCAATACATAGTCAATTTATATTTTTTATTTATTTTTATTTTTTATTTTTTAAATTTGGTAAGATAAATATTAATTGCTTTTTCTACAAATGTGGAGTCAATATTTGGACAAGCATGATAAGGATGAAGTTATCCCATGTTTTTATTGAGTTTTTGTATCTCTTTCTAAAAGAAGATAATGACTACGTATGGTTGAATTCACTAGGAATCATTTATTAGGTAGGACTTATCTTATATATATATATATATATATATATATAGGGAAAAGATGGGATTAGCCCACTAGCTCATATGTTCATATGACCTAGTGGGCTAATCCCATCTTTTTCCATATATATATATGTATATATATATACATGATTATTGATACTACGTTACAAAGCAATAAAGTGAAGATCCTTGTGCATAATGTGAGAGCTTCTCTCTCTAGAGACTTTGGTGATATTTGCTCCATTGCTTCGTGGTGTGCATGCTTTTGTTATTTACAAGTTGTTCGTGCTCACGTTTGACATGTAGATTTTGAATGTGGCGCTCGGATTAATAAGAGAGTCCAACACAAGATAGTCTGCCTTTGTTTGCGTTTCCATGTATGCGCGATTCTTCTAGGACACAACTCAACAAGAATGATGCATTAACGAGAGAGTAATTACCCAAAAAAAAACAAGAGAGAGAGAGAAGTTATAGAGAGACATGAGGTCAAAAGGGAGAGCCGAGAGGAGTCATGTGTTTTATACACTATTTTTCATGTTAATGAATCGAGCAAATCGTTTTCTCTCAAAATTTTTGGAGTGGTTTGGTTCTGCTATGCGCATGGATTAGTTTGTGCGTTTCAGTTTGTGCAAAGGTGCTCATTGCGCGTGTGATTTCTCATCGTGTGTATGTGTGTGACTCAGCAGTACACGAATTACACATGCAGGTGCATGAGAAAGTAGAAGAAAAAACTGCCAAATACAAGAAAGAAGTTGATTCCCAATGTAGAATCAAGGAATTTCAGGTTGATGGTCATGTGATGGTCTACTTGAGAAAGGAAAGATTTCTAATTGGTACTCATCATAAGTTGAGGTTTAAGGTCAGACCATGTAAAGCACTCAAGAAGATGGGAACCAATGCTCATACGGATGAGCTCTCAAGAGACCTCAATAAATCTCCATTTTTAATGTGGCAGATCTTTATGAGTACCACACTGGGAAAGTTAATCAAGTAGTGATAGATGATTGACAGCAACAAATTCCACAAGCGCCTAAAGACCGAGTGCAGCAAGTCCTTGACGTTGATGTCATAAAGACTCGTGGAGATGAATATCAAAAGTTTCATGTCCAAATGGTTCGGAAAAACTCGGTCAGAGAGCACATGAATTTTAGAAGTCCTGATAGGAAGATCCTTGAAGACTATGATGTTGCAAACTCACCAGAGTCAAATTCTTTTTGGCAAGGAATGACACAGCTAAGGCATGATTATTTTGTGCTTGATAGCTGATAGTCATTATTTGTTTCTAAAGGGTAAATGGGAAGGGGTAAAGATATATTTGATTTCAGTAGTGTGTGGGGTTCCTATTTTATGGGGATTTTGGTTAGAGGTGCGTGAATAGAAGGATAGAAAGATGGGATAACTTGCAAATCAAGGAAAGATGAGGAATTTGGTTAGGAGTCCTTTAGTTTGAGAAGTCTAATTTTTTTTCTTTATTTTTCTATATATATAAAAAGGAAAAGTGTGTGGCCTTACAGGGGAACGTGGAATTTTTTCACACTCCAACTGATAGTAAAAAAATGGTGTACATCCTTGGAGAAAGCTTGCATAGCTGATTGGTTCTCACTCTTGTTTCGTACTTGTGGTGTATTTGATTGGGGATTTTCGTGTGGCATTGGAATCTCTTTCCTCTCTTTGTTTTCGTTGCATCAGATAGGCTCGTACCCCAGCTAACCAACCAAAAGAAAAATGGAAGAGTGAAAAAAAACAGAAAATTCCTATCATGGTTTTAAAACTTGGCCAAGTTGACTTGGACTTGGCAGCTTGGAGCTGAGTTCCTAGGTGCGAACTTGGGTTGTATAAAAAATCATAAACAAAATATTTATTAGCTCTTTTATGGGCTGATACACTATTAGCTGAGTCCACTCGGACTCACTTGAGTAACTTGGCAGGGCCTGAGCCAAGTGATTGAACCTTGATTCATATTGATGTAGACCCTATTTAGCGAAGTTCTAGAACAACCATTTGTCAATAACCAACATGTTCATAAAAGCTATTACACATTGTGATACCACATGAAATAAATGATATAAAGGGATACAACAGGAAGATAGAACAGATAAAAGAAAAAGTTACTTTAAATAACAAAAACATTTTAACAAAAAATGAAATATCCACACCAGTTGAGACCTCAATGTTGGGCAATAACCTTAAAAGTATACTAGGAATCGAATTACTAAGATAAGAATAAATGAAAAACTCAAGGAACTAAACATAAAAACCTATATGAAGTCCAATATTAAAGAAAAATTATCAAAATCATTGTTACGAGATTCATCCACTCGGACTCAGGTGGCGAGGCCGAGTTACCCCGAGTTGTATGAGCAACTGGGGGCACATTAAAAAAAATCCAAAAAGGGAATATTGTTTAAAAAAGTTTTTATATAATTTGAATGTTTTGGCAAACGATTGGTGAGTATTTTTTGCCATAATCCCTATTTATACACTGGGTGAGGTTGGTATAAGGTGCCCACCTTATATTGTTCAAGTAACGCGCACCTCCAAAATTTTTTAGAAGATGTAGTTTTACCGTCGGAAACCTTACGACAGTTTAAAAATCTGTGTTGAATTTTTCAAGTTCTAAAAATGGTGCAGATCGAGCAGATCTATAAACACTAGAAAATCTTGAAAATAGACAGTCCAGATAACTTGTTACAATATGCAGTACTTTGGAGCTTGAAATTCTTTTTCCCTTTATATCTATAAATCTCAAGGTCGATGATTAATTGGAAGATTTTACAACTTCGAAACGCTCTTTTCTACTGATTTTTTAGGTGGCACTTACTTCAATAGTAAAAGGTTACAACATTATATAAACTTTTTTCCTTTTATATTTACCTTTTTTTAGATTGTTTAAATGTCCCAATTATAAATATTTTTTTCTAAATCCATTTATTATATATTTTTGAGATTATTTGGACTTTTAAGTTGCTTTTGGTCTTATTGTACTTTTATTACCTTTATTTTATTTTTCCATATTTTTTTTCAAGGGCTTTTGGCCCTGCACTACAGCCGAGTACCATGGCGAGGCGAGTCCCATAACACTAACTAAATTCCACTAACAATTGAGAATTATAAACAATTCAGACCCCAATTGCAGGAAAACCCTAAAAGACGAGTACTTATCAGCAAAAACATGAAAATACACTAAATTGCCGTAAAAATGAAAATCAAATAGTTAGACTAACTCAGAAAAAAACAGATAATAAACTACAAGAGAAGATGTGCAATCAGAAGAGCGAAAAATTCGCAAGAAGCATAAAGAAATTTATCCAGGAAACCAAACTGAAATGCCTACCCAGCTTCCTAGTAATAACACATTGACAAAAAATAATATTAGAGACCGATTGCCATTAAATTACCATGAAAATTATAGGGAAAACCAAACACAGCAATTTCAGACCTAAATCCAAGAAATAATCGAAAAACAGCAAATAAAATCGATTAAAAAATACTAAACAATACTCACAGGAATTCTATCCGGATACTTGGAGATGATACTTCTGGACTCTGCTTCTCTCTCCTCTGCAAAAAAACAAAAAACATGTTTTAAAAATTTAGACACAGAAATTCAGAGAGTACAAGAGAGATAGAAAGAGATGATTAGTTGAACAAACCTAAGCTGTACTCCTCCTTGAATGATCGCGTCTTTCCCATTGCGAAAAAATGAAAAAGATAAGGGGAGAGAAGGAGAGCAGAGAGAAAGCCTAAACCAGTTTATTCTCTCCTGCAACTCTTTCTCTAATCCAACGGAGGCAGGAAGGGAACGGAAATGGAAGGCCAAGCTTGAGAAAATACCCGGTTCGGCCTTGTCTCTTGCTTGAAGATCTAAATTCCCTCACGGCACGTTGAGAAAATTAACGGAATCAGGTAGGAGGAAAAATGACTAAAGGTACCCTTAAAATTGACAAAAATATTAAAAAAGTACAATTATTGTGACCTGGCTCCGATGTGCGGTTTAGATTTTGTTGGAGCAGACTTCCTTACAATGGGGCCGTCCGTTCTTCACCCGTGCAAGCAAATGGACTTAAAGGAAAAGAAAAATGACTGATCTGTTTTTGGAAAAGATTTATATAGAGCCAAGGCTCTAAACAATTGTTTTGCAAGGCTCTAAACAATCGAATTGGAGCCCAACTCAAAAATTTTACTAGAAGAAGTTGTTTTGATGCTCAAATATCCTCAAATTAATCATCTTGACATCAAGACATATGGTCTTGAGAAAAAACTGGATTTCAAGTTTTAGAAATAGTGCATCTTGTAACGCATTTTTTTACCATCAATTTTCAAGATTTTTAAGTTTTCATATATCTGTTCGATCTACATTATTTTTGAAACTTTAAATTTTATAATTACATATGAAAATATATTTTAAGGCTATCTCAAAATTTTCCGTATTGAAACCACATTTCTCGACACTATTTGAAGGGCATTTTAGTTTGATTGTTTAGAGCCTCGGCTCTATACAAGCTGCACCCATCTTCTTCTTTTTTTGACAATATTACATATAGAAATTAGTCTCTCTTAAAAGTCTTTTTTTTTTTTATCGATATTTGGACCTATTTTTTAAGGACATATAATCTTTAAATGGAGATCACGAATATAAATAAATAAAAAATTAAAAAATAATTTTATAAATAAAACATTTGGGCCGTTGGTTTCAACTATTATTAGATAGACCACCCATTTACATCTATCTTTAAGATGGATGCTTTATATCTTGAGGGTCGCGCATGTAGAAATGCGTCCCCCGACTCATGGAGCAATTTTCTATTTCTTAGTATTAAACTTAAAGGATGATTACAAAAATAACAAGATAATGAAGTATCTGACACTTCTAAATTATGTTAAGAAACCCTTCATTTGGCTATACCATCAACCACATCATTAGCTTCTCTGTACAGTCTAAAATGAGACCTTTATATTGCTACGAATGTCTATGATTTTCATCCAAATCAATTTGAGTCTCGAAGGTGGTATGGACTCCTTATTACACCCATTAATTGCATTAAGAAAGCCCCTCTTAACCAAATTCTCCAATTTCTCTATCTAATAAAAGCTTAAGTCCATGTAGTAGAGCATTAAGCTCTGTTTAGTTTATTGTAGCGCAACCACACAGGCCAGCAAAACAAAATATCATAGGACCATCATAATTTCTAACAATTTCACTAATGCCTGCCGGCCCCGAGTTCCCAAAAGAGGTTATATTTTCACCTCCTATCATGGGTTCCTTTTGATTGATCAACTCAACCAAATTTAGAGCTATATCTGCCATAGAAACCCCATTCCTTCTATTATAATAATTGAATACCAACTCCACAAAGTATGCACTCCCATTCCTCTCCAACCAAATTTCCCATGAGATCGTTGCCCCAATATATTTCTCAAACCATCTTCCCAATCTTAGGTGGGACATCTAGACTCTACTGCTCCCAAATCTCTTTATGACTCCTTAGAAGTAACATCGGGATTTCCATCTTTGTAAAAATATGAAATGTAAATGAGCAATATAGAAACAAACGATCTTCACTTTCTTCATTTTCCTTACACAATAAACAAATGGTGCAGTTTGCATACGGATGTATCTATGGTGTAGAGGTAACGTGCCCTTCAAATTTTATCATGGTATATAATTTTGATGTAAAATGTTCTTAAGATTATCTCAAAATCTATTTTTATATCTAATTATAAATTTTAAATTTAAAAAATGGTTAAAATCAAGTAGATCAATAAACATATGAAAATCTAAAAAATGGACGGTGTAGATAATATGTTGTAAAATGCACTATTTTTGATACTTAAAATCTTTGTATTTTTCATAGTCATACATCTTGACGTCGAGATAATCAATCAAAAGGTTTTTCAACATTAAAACTACCTTTTCTGATGGATTTTTGAGGGCCATCTGTAGTTCTATATTATAAGGTAGCATCCTTATATACAATTTTTTCATAAACAAATATTGACCATAATTCTATCCTTCCTTAAGATCATCCACTGTTATAATCCTACCTTGCATAAGAATCCACATGAAAGCTACACCTTAACATGATGTTTCCAAATTTTATTCAACATATGTTGCACCCACATTAATCGATCGTGAAATAGTATATGATAAGTTGACTTAACCAAGAATATGCCATCATTTTCATCTTTCGTGAAGGAGGAACACTTTCCAAATCCTTTAATAAACCAGAAAGCTGCAAAACAAAATCACATCTGACACCCTAGTATAAGAACAAATAATTATCCAAAAAGGTCTCAAACGACAAGTGCAACTGATGAGAAGGCTCTCTGCCTAAGCAATTATATCAAGATAATGGTCTATGCCATACTTTTCCACAAATACCTACCCCTATAACTGTTCATCATTCTACATTGATCTCCACCACCATTTGGCTAGCAAAGCTTGATTCACAATCTTTAGCTTTGTTACTCCCAGCTCACCTTTCTTTTTAGTATTACAAACTCTATCTCAACTAATCAAATAATACCTATTTCCATTAACATATGATCCCCAAAAAAATTATTCATTTGTTTTATATTTCTAGTGATTGCTCTAAGAATGATTAGAAGAGACATTTGGTACATTGGAAGATTTGTAAAAGAAAGACTTGATTAAAGTTATACGCCGCCCTAAAGATGAGAATTTCACCTTCCATAAATCTAGTTTCACTTGGAACCCTTTCAAACTGGGTCCCAAGCTGCCCTAGATGGTCTCGAATATGAGATTGGCAATCCCAAATGCTTAATAGGAAATTGCTCCACACGATAATCCGTATGGAATGCCAAAAGATTTACTAACTCACCACAACAACCCAATTATCGATGTTTCTCAAAATTAACTTTTTGTCCCAAAGTCATCTCACGGCATCACAAAAACCATCAAATGTTTAGAATATGATTAACATTACAAAAATTAAAATAGCATCAACATATTACAAGTGAAAAATACATGGGCCAGTTGAAGATACCTTAAAACCCTTAAAACAATGTCTTCTTTCTACATTTTGTAACGACACTCTGAAACCTTTTGCCGCTAAAGTGAACTAAAACGTGACAGGGGATCGCCTTGTCTTAACTCCTTTGATGCTTTAAAAAACCTTTTCGGGCTCCTATTAATAAGCAAATAAAAATCCATATTGTTGTACATGGTTTTATATAAGTGATTGCTTAAGCTTTTTCCATCATAAATGATTAGAGATTAATTAATATTGTATCAAGTTCATGGCTACGTCATAAAGCCTGCTATTATTACTAAGGAAATGATTGTATGTGACCCTGCCACGCCGATAGGCTTGTGCGACCCAACAAATTTTCCATTGGATCAGGGCCGTCCGTGAGATATGGATCGAGTGACCTGATAAACAAGTCACCTAAAATGAACCCACTGGAACAAGAGAGAGAAAATGACGCTCACCCACCTGACTAAGAGAGAGAGAGAAAGGGCCTGGACCTCTCAAATAAAGGACCAACCCATAAAAGAGTGAAAAAAATTAGAGCAAACCCATGAGAAGTGAAAAAGGATGAGAGAAAAGAAACATGTCCCGGTGGGTTTGGGAGTAGAGGTTTGAAATGCTCTTTCACCTATAAATCTCCCCAATGAGATCGTCATGCCCTTCCATCTTGTGCCCTGTTGCCAACTAGATCAGTGTTCAAAAGAGCGATCAATTTTTTAAAAATCAGCCCACTTAATCGGGATTAGTCACTAGCCAATCTCGAGTTGTCTTGATTTCAAGAGTCATGTATTTTGAAAAAAAAATTCAGTACACTGATCAGACGATTTATAATCGACCCAATTTGTGCACTGTTACAAGCTCTCTCTCAGTTGGGTTCTCCTTTGCTCTCTCACACTCTCTCTAACTGTTGGGGCTACATCTCTCTCTCTCTTTCTCTAATTCTCTCTCTAGAACTGTTGGGGCAGGGGTTTGCCCCAACCTCCGTCACCTCTCTCTCTCTCTCTAACAGTTGGGGTAAGCCTGCCCCAACATCTCTCACTCTCGTTCTCTCCCTCTGGAATGTTGGAACAGGGAACTGCCCCAACCTCTCTCTCACCTCTCTATCTCCCTATCCATCTCACTCTTAACTGTTGGGTTCAATTTTTTCTCTCACTCCATCTCTAACTGTTGGCACAGGCATGCCCCAATGTCTATCTCACTCTCTCTCTCTAGAACTATTGGGGCAGAGGACTGCCCCACCTCTCTCACGTCTCTTTCTCCCTCTCTCACATCACTCATTATTGGGGCGCGAGCCTACCCCAACCTCACTCTCTGTTGAGTTATTTTTATCTCACTCTCTGTTGGGTTCTATTTATGTCACTCTCTGTTGGGTTCTCTCTCGCCAACTGTTGGCGCAGTGTCTCTCTCACTCTCTCTGATAGTGGGTTCTCAGGCCAGCCTGCCCCAACGTCTATCTCACTCACTACTGCTGGCAGGGTAATGCCCCACCCTCTCTCTCTCTCTCTCTCTCTCTCTCTCTCTCTCTCTCTCTGCTGGGTTCTTTCTCACACTCTAATTTCCTTCAATTACTAGATCACTAATATTTCTTTAGGTACCTAAAATTTTTCCACAAAATCCAATTATACCTATAGTATTTATTTTTTCTGTTTTTTATATGATAATATATAAAAAAAAATACAAGTAAATCTTTTTAAAAAAATACAATTTTTTTGGGATTTTTTTTACTGAAATTACAGTTTTAAAGGAAAAATCAAAACACTAATTGGTCAATTTAGTCGGAAGCGGTCCGACTAATCGAATCAAGCTAGGACCGACTAGTCGGCCCAGCCTGATTCCTTTTGAACACTGAACTAGCCCACCCATGCCTCTCTCTAACAATCAGATGCGATGAAATTGACGCTGGTGGTTTTAACACTCAACGTTGGATCATTCTCTTTTTATCTCACAGGGTAACTTAGGTTGAAACTTGTGTTTTTCTTAGTTTTTGTATTACTCGTAGATTTTGTACATTACTCTTTCTCTCTTCTTCTTCTAGGTCGGCATCAAGATTGGAATTATTTTAAGCTTTTT